CCTGCTGTGGGGGCAGAGAAATCCTGCTGTGGGGGCAGAGAAATCCTACTGTGGGGGCAGACAGGCAGAGCCATCAGCACTGACTGAGCTTTCCTAAACTGGGGAAGATGGCAGAACAGGATCCCCAAACACTTATCCCCAGTTATGCTGCAGATCAATAGTTTTTCATCTCTTTCCTTATTTTCAGTAGTATCCTCAGTTTTGCACAGGAAAGGAAAATGGTTGTGGCTCAATAGGGGGGATTTCAGCCCATTTGTTTCCCTGTTTTGAGGACTGTGCAAGCATTCAGAAAAGAATAAAGCCATAGACAACAGGTTAAGAGATGGAAATTAAAGTACCAAAGATTTAGTACCTCTCATAGCAGCAGAGCAGTGAGTGATTGAACACATCAACCTTAAAGCAAGCTGGAAATAACTATGGGATGCAGGCACCACAGAGCCTGGGGAAGTGAGCAGGCATGAACTGGAATATTTAAATTACACCTCTCCTTCTGCTAAAGCTTTCCCACCACATTACTAACTGATTTCTGTACTCTGAGTACACAGGTGTGCCTCAGTTACTTACAGACCTCATCAACATTTCCCTCCCACCAGGCAGATCTGACCCCCCAAACTCCTGGGAGCCACCATCTCCTCCTATCCCTGATCCCTGGACCAGCCTCCCTTCTCCCACCGCTCTCAGGACACGCAGCCCTGCAGCTCCCACACCAGGGGCCTGGCTGCAGCTGGGGGCAAAGGCATCAAACACAGCTGAATGAGGAAACGTGCCTGGGACACCTTCAGGAAAACCACTCCTAGGACAGGGACCAGGAAGTGCTCACCCTTAAATCCTAAATTTAAGGACGAGAGGTGCTAATAAGCTTGAAGTGTCACAAACATATTTTATAAGATAATCCAACCAGGCAGTGCTTGTACAAGGCAGAGAGGGATCAGATGAGCTTGATCTCAACACATTAATCCATTTTGAACATTTCATTTCCCAGATGCACAAGAGCACAAAACTCCAGATCCCCCAGCAATACTCACAGAGCCAGGGAGACACACAGCACCAATGGGCCCCACAGATCCCCTGCAGGGAGAGGGAAAACACATCACAAATGTCACAGAACCATCTCAGTTCCATTCTCTTGGGAGTGACAAAGCCCTTTCCCAACTCCCAAGGTGCCATTTTCCACACCCCACTGCCCTACAATTTCCTTATTCAGCACCTTACACCATATTCTGTAACAAAATTCATTCAAAGCCCATCTGCTGCTAAAGCTCCCAGTTGTACCCCCAGCCCAGAGCCCTGGGGACACCGTGAGTGTCCCAGGTGCTGCTCAGCCCGGGGTGTCCCCCACTGCTGCTCCCTGTCCCCCTGGCACGTACAGTCCCTGAGGAGTGCGCTGCTCTTCCGGGGGTACATCACATGGACAAACTTCTTCCCAACGGCCTTCAGGTCCCTCATCTGAAACAGACACAGAACACCCCAATTTCCCCCTGCACAAAAATTACAGTTCCTAGTAAAGCAGACAGACAGAAGTAAAGGAGCAATGACGGTAACTCGGGAGAAGATCCAACCCAAACAGTTCTGTAGCATCCTCTGAGACAGACACTGCCTATTTTCCCTGTGTTCCTTAAGAACCACAATATTATATCCTTTAATAACACCAGAAGAAGAACAACAATATTTGCTCCTCTAAAAAAAGAAAAGAAATGAAGTATCCCATCAGTCAGGAGAGTTTTCCCCAAGCTCCCTCTGAGGCCTCTGCCCTTGCACTGATTTCAGGATCACAGAGAAACTCTGGGGCCTCAATTCAGACACTTTTGACCCATAGGATTTTGTTTTACATGACGAGTTGTAAAACTTACACTGAAGTACAGGTCAAGCAGAGCTGTGCACAAACACAGTTTCTGCACAACAGCTGCCAAAGACTCTGGAAAACCCAAGTTTTACCCCAACCAGAGGTTCAGACTCACAATTGTGTCCCTGACAGGCTCGTCCAACGTGGAGTAATCCTCATCAGGAGAGTGAGATCCCACGGGGACAGTGATCTCCCCTTCCACTGGAATGTCCTGGGATATGGACACATCCGCCAGACCTGGGAACTGAACGGATTTCAGCCTTCAGGAGGGAACACAAACCAGCTCACGTGCACCTCCGATGGGCTGGGGATGGACACAGCTGCTCAGGTAACAAAAGGCCTCCAGACTCCGCTCCGCCCGCGCTGACCGACAGCCGGGCCCCGGGAGGGGAGGGCGGGGGGCCGAGCGCCCGCGGACACCCCCAGGCCCCCCGTTCCCCCCGAGTCCCCCCGTACTCCCCTCGTCTCCCCTGACCCCCGTCTCCCCTGTCCCCTTGTCCCCCCGTTCCCCGCTCACCAGGGTCCCCCCGGCCCCGCTCCCCTCCGCCGCCGCCATCTTGGCTGCCCC